TGAAATAAGCGTGGTATAGTTGGCTAACTTGTTTTATGAAACAGGCCTCGAGGCATTAATAGTGATCATATTTTCTCCATTGCATCATATTGCATCGAATCGCGTTGTTGAATCAAATTGAATCGAAATCGGATCGCATTGCATCGTAATAGGGGTGAATCGTATCGCATCTCATCGTAGCTGCTTCATATGTGTCTTTACTGTATCGTATCGTTGACTATGCATCGAGATGTGTATCGTATCGGCCTGAGTCATGAGATGCAATCCCTACTAGTTGGCAACAAATTTGTGTTTAAAAGGTATCAGGTTCATATTGTGAGAGCAATATAGTGCTGCCATACCAAGTTTCTTTGTGTATTTGAGATACTAGGCTAATTAATTGTGTACTATAGTACAAACTTTATGACCTTTCAGACTTTATGCTGCAGATCAAAAGTTTGCCTATTATGACTGCATCACCTTGGTCAAGAATAGCATAGTGGTAGTGGAGTAAAGTTGTGGTCTTGCAGCTGAAGTTTAGTGTCTGATCCAGTTGTTGTTCTGGGATGGGATTTTACTGAGGTCACAGTCCCGCTGTAGTGCCATTCTGCCCTTGAGCAAGGCATTTAGCCCTGAGTTGCTCTTGTGGGACCTTTTGCATTGTCTGCTAAATGACAGATTTCAATTTCAGTGATGACTTGTTGACTTTTTGGGTCATGATTTGAGAGGAGTTCACATAAGTCGTCCCTGAGCACAAAAAGAGGCCTTTCCACCATCGCTATTACACCCTGACACTCACAAAGAGACACGCACTCACAAAGCCACTGCAGTGTCGTATCCTGTCCAGAGGAGGTGGAAGCAGTTGTGTGAATGTAAGCCTGAGGGCTACAAATGATTCCTGTTGCTTAACTGGTAGAGCATGGTGTTAGCAATGCCAAGGTCACAGGTTCAACATAATGATGAAATGAAGACAGTGGAAGTCACTTTGGATAAAAGTGGTGTTGTGATAATACACTCATACACTATATAGATATATCACGTTTATTTTTCATAATCATACTTGAGATCCTTTACTTTAAAGTTTGTTTTTAAAACTTCATCTATTTATGAGTGCATTTACATCATTTTCTGCAGGTTAATTCATAAAAAAAAAAAAAAAAAAAAAAAAATATATATATATATATATAT